AATTCCATATGTGCTGGTACACCCTAATGTATTTATGCAGGTACATACAATTTTATTCGCACATGTTTTTCAGCGTAAAAAACACCCCCAAAGCTTGGCTTATTATCTCTGGCGCACGCTCGTTTACCGCCGAAAAAAACAAACAGAACTGTCCAAAGTCCAACCAGGAGGACCTTGCTTGAACTAAGTACAACTAAGTATAAGTTAATGTGAATGTTTTTTAATTCACTTATTTATGTTAAGTTTGTGTTACATGTTAACCGCATTATAATCGTTTGACGTCAATTGATTTGCCGCGCGAGACACATTTTTGCGGTGGCGGAGAAGATTTCCTTAGTAGCAGCTCGGAAGCTTATCAGACAGTAAACAACTGCGTGCGCTGCTGCTGGCACAGCAATTGGACTTTCAAACTGGCTAGAGACAAAAACAAGCATCCTCGTACAAATATAAAATTTAATCGATTACAAATTAATTAATTGCTGAATTCCTCATCGGGCAAGGGGGGGAGGCGCAAAGCCCCCATAGCTTCATGCTACTCATTAACGAATTTGCTGTTACGCATTTGAGTTGATTATTTTTGTTGGTCAGAGTGTAAATATTTGTCTGGAATGCATAACAAAATATTTTTATAATGACGCATTTATTTGATTGCAGTTGTTTTTATTGCCATATAAGAGGTAAATAAGTTGCATTAATAAAATTGTTTTAAAATCAACTTTGTAAATTTCTTTAAAAAAATTACGTGAACTGAGGATAAAATTTTTGTTCATACACTTTTGGATATGAAATATCTATTATGCAAAAGGAAAAGCGTGTTGGATTCTGTGCAGGCATTGATAAACTTCGGGAGGGAAACAGGTTACAATAGGGGTATTCACACTCATTTCGGTAGTTTTGGGTAAACTGCTAGTGGTTACTCGGCTCCTAGCGAAAGAGCGCATTAGTTTGCTGTATATCGCCAGCAAATTGTCATTTAGAAACTTCTTCCGAAATCAAACTGAAAAGCCATAGGTAATCAACTGTCCAACTACCTAAAATCCCCAGCGTATCCCTCTACGCGACCACCATGCGCTCTCCCACGTAGTTGTTTTCGATTTGAATGATTTATTGATAATTAATAATTATAAATATGTATTCGATTTAACTATGTACGCGTCATAATCCAGGTCAAGCGATTGTCCAACAAAGTACACATATAATAATGATTTTTTTTCCTTCTTTTCTGAGTACTCATTTACCACGTATACAATTTCGTTCGCGCTGACTTCTGTAAACAATGTTTGATGAATTCGTAAAATATTTTTTTTTTTTATAATAAAGTCTAAATTTAGTTTAATCAGGCCCTAAGTTAATGTAAAGTACTTGTTTACACACTTTGCTAATTGCTTTGTCGTCAGAGATGCTTACATTCATACATATGTACATAAGTATGTAAATACTAGGATGCTCGGTTATTCGACTTTTTTTTGAAAACCGAGTTCCGAGTTATTAGAAAAAGGCAACTTAAAAAACAGGTTTCCAATTTTTAAATTCAGAAAAAACCGGTTAGGGCGGTTATTTGTTTCTAATTTTTCGTAATTGATAACTTTTATTACTCACTTTTACTATTCACAAAATAAAAAATACCTATAATGAATTTACAGCAGTTGCATAAATATAAATTAAATGTAAATTAAATGAATAAACGGTTTATTCGATAACAAAATTATGATTCGTTCGATATGCGGACAATTTGAAAAAAAAAAACAAAAACAAGAGTAAAAACCTAGTCAGTCACCCTAGTAAATACTGCTTACGTATGTAAATACATACTAACACAAGTTCTGGTCGGCTGATAAGGAATGTTCTTCTATTTAGAAAGGAAAATTCTAAAATCTATTAAAATACATACATACATACATAAATTAAAAGTTAACATAACTATACGACACCTAAATTTTGGCAAGTTTTGACTATTTTATTATTGTTTAATTTAAATTATTATTTTTTTTTATATAAAAATACTTTATTCCAGCGCGAATTTAAATAAGGTGGTACTGATTCATCAGCTGTGAGTAGTGTTTGATTGTCTATCACTAGATGGAAAATTCGAAAGTTATGCCTTTTAAGCACAATTAAAATTTTAGTTTTTCGATTACACTTAGAAAAATCCGTTCGGACTCGGCGTAAAACTATAGGTCCCTCCCCTTTGTGTAGCATCAAGGCGCACGCCTCAACTCGGAGGAGAAGCTTGGCCTAACACTAGCAAATCGTGAGCTAAATTTGACCATAGATGCAGGTTTTCGAAAAATTTCGACCCCCGCGCCACTTACCGGCAACATTTTTTGTGGAGTTATTTTTTTAATGCGAGTAATATACATTCCCAATATAAATTAAATACGACCATAAATATGGGTTGTCGAAATATCTCGATTCCTGAGCTACCATCATTTATATTGCATTGTCACGAGAACCAAGCGAGTGTGACAAATTTCAGTTAAAAATGTTAGTACTTCACTAGACGAGACATATTGGAATGGTTTCAACCCAGCCTATTTCAAGTCTGAAACGTGATTTTAAGGCTGTGCATGGTTTAAACTAAGGAATTGTGTCTCTTTAACCAGTCTGTGTATGACTTTCTTGAAATATAATTCATGTGTTTCAAATTTTCTCCCAGAGAATTGTAAAAGTTTCAGTAATAAAAAGAAATTCGAAGTTTTTAATGTATTAATCGTTTTTTAAATTTGTTTGCATTCGAAGAAACCGCCACGTCTTCTACCTCTCGAATTCATTCCCCCGCCATTGTCTGGTTTTATTGAGCTTCTCTTCCTGGCAACGCTGGTGCTGGGCGTTATTTCGTTGAACCCTTAAAATTGTTACAGTTTAAGTAGAAAATTCTAGGGCGTAAGAAATATTTTAAGCGCCCTTTTCTAAAGTATCTTCTAAAATTTGTCTGCCCTTCAAACAGTTTTTTGGAGAACTAAATTTGGACAGATAAATATTAAAAGCTACTTGAGTAAACGGCGCTAAACGCAATTTCGCTAGTAACCCAACCGGCCTTACGACCTGCAGTAGGCCACCCGAAAAGTCAATTTTAACCGTTAGAATGTTTTCAATAAAGTTTTTTTTTTTTAATTTTTAATTCAATTGGTCTTAAAACTTATTAATATATTAATTTTTTTATTTATTTACTGCATTTAAATGACATACAACTCATGCGTGCATACATTTGTATTTATTTATACTGCAATATTGTAAAATAATTCTTAATTTAAATACATATGTGACAGTTAAAGTGAAAAGGGATCTAGGGGGCCACGTGACAATTTCGCCAAGGCACGTTTTGTGTGAAATTTTCAATGCAAACACTATGAATTTACCTGCCGACGAGGTGGTTTAGCGGCGTCAAAAGAAGCAAAATATTTTTAATAACTTTTACGCAGGGAAAATGACGCTCCGATGAAACCATCCTGCGACTCAGCACCCATGGGTGTACAACGAAAGCAAGATCACCCACGAACACAATGGAAGGATCAAGTGCAGCGCTCATCCACGAAGGAAAGAGGCAATTGGCGTAGCTTTTTGGTCTCGGCTCAAACCGACTAACAGTTGTAGTGTCAAATTAGAAGAAGATGGCGCAGATGATTTTTTGTATGTTAATTTTTTCATAAGTTCACTTCAAAGATGGTTGCATTGCCAAACAAAACATTAAAGTCATTTTTCTCGAGCCGTAGGTCCCTTTCAACTTTCTCTGTCACATATGTATATATAAACATACATATGTAGATATAATGTATGTATAAATTACGAGTAGTTAAGTGAAAAATTTACAAAGTACAATCTTGATAAATTGTATGACGAACAACAGATACAATCCAGTGTATAGAGTAGTAGTTATTTAGAGAATACGTATGTATATGTGCGTACGTATAATTCTAACCTAATTCATCTTCTACATACAGTGCTGGTCACTTTAATAGTGCCCCTTTTGAACATCAGCATTGACAGTTTTCCCATTTAGCTTATAGAGTACAAAATTTATAATTCAAAAAATATTCAGCAAAATGTTTATAATTTTTTAAATACAATTTTTCATTTTTTTTAGTATGCATTTCCCAAGTACCAACAAAATTGCACTGATTTTTGAGGAATTTTTTTTTTGCCATATTAAAAAATTTGTGGCCAAATACATTAAAAAAATCAACGCAATTTTATAGAAACTTGGAAACTGCATATTTAAAAAAAATTCTAAAATTCTTTTTAAAAAAGTTTGAAACATTTGATGAAATTTTTCCGAATCATTAAACATGTGTAAATTTTGTATAAAGTTTGAAAATTGATTTGCATGGTTTTTGTTACAGAATATGGGTGTGTTAGGAAATGCATCAAGCCGAAGCATCAGTCTGTTTTATTTCTAAACTATAATTAGTGGAAATGCCTTATTTACGCAACTGAGTTCCAATTCGACATTTGACCGTGAATGCGCATATTGCACATTCCCCTCAATTATAGTTCAGAAATATAATTTTTATAAAAAAAATAGTGAAAATTAAATAAATAATGGAAACCAGCCAGTACTGACGAACAAAATGGGCGCTGTTCAAGTGGCCGGCACTGTATATATGTTTTTGTATTTGTGCGTACGATTGTTTTATTGTCAATTTCATTTATATGTATTGTTTAAAGCTGCAAGGAGATACCTTTTTCATAAGCATTAAAAAAAAAATCATGGTATCAAAAACTTTATTAGAATGTCAATGGCACAATGGCATGTTGCTCAGTACTACTCTTTTAATTTATTGGTATTTTGCTTTTTTATAAAAAAATTTTATTTCTTCAGCGCTTAATACTAAAACTTAACATATGTACTTAAGTGGTTTTTATCTTTAAGTTAAATTATATTTGGCATAGGTTCTGCACACTTTTTGGTATTTTGAAGCTCAGCATTTACTTTTTTATTTCAAGTTGTTTTTTTTTTTTGGGTAAATACTAAGTTTTTGCTTAAATTCTCTATTAATGTAATTAAACAAAAAATCGTGCAGAGCAGTTACACTCTTTAGAAAAAGGCACACTCATTGTCAGTATTTATATTTGTAAACCAGTTGCTCTGGCAAGCGCCACGATCATTCTGTGCGCTGAATGATCAGCTCGATCTTGTCGCCGGCCGCTGCTATCAAAGGCACTGTCAGGCAACAATCAAAGTCCTGCGTTTTCATCTCATTCACCTGCATAGTGAAAATATTAACTCATTTTCTTCAGCAAATAAAAATTTAAACCAAATCGAATTACTAACCTGCATAATTCTATCGAACGGCTTTAGTAGGCCACTCAAGTCCGCCGGTCCACCACTGCGTATGCGGTTGATGAACACACCGCGTTCGTACAGGCCATCCGACACCGAAAATCCATAATCATCGTATACCTTATCTTTTTTCAAGGTCACATGGAAGACACGATGCTTGCCATCTTTGCTGCCGCTGGCCGAAGTCGCGTCCGTATTCGAGGAGGGACTGCGTGGACGCCGCTGCACCTTGGCATAAATAGCCTGTGGCTGTGGCAAATTAGCAGCATCTAGATGCCCACCCGCCATAATGCTTGATATTTCATGCGCGCGCAATATTTTCAAGTCAACTGTATCGCTGAGATTCTGCAAAATACTTGTTGCGTGCGACAGTGGCATACCCTGCACTGAATCGTCGTTGATGGCCAGTAGTTGATCGCCAACTTGTATTTGACCATGCTTGTGTGCAATGCCGCCTAAAGGAAGAGAAAGGTTGGCAATCAAGAAATTGGTGGGCGGGAATGTACATATGTATGTATGTATGTGTGTATTCTGTATCATTCACCTTCCACAAGTCCGCTTATGGTTATCGGCTTGCCAATATCCTCGCTACCGGCAAGCGTTATGCCTAACAAGCCGCCTTTTGGCTCCAGTCGCACGGTGAAGATAATCTGATGAAGACTGCTGCCGCTGCTCTTGCTACTCGAACTCGTGGCAGAGCCGTATACCTTATTTTCCATGGGTGGTGGTAAGGCACTGCAATCGGCACTGGAAGAGGAAAAATAAATTTTCTTTTAATTAAGACAATTTTCTATATTATTTAAAGTTTTGAGGCCCAAGTCTGCGACTAGAAATGCCAAACAGATTATCCTCAAGGATTCAGACCAGAAACTATGCGATGAGAAGCGACAAGTCATTCAAATTACTCCTCCCTGCTGATTTTCCCAATAATATGTATGGAGGCCAAGAAGGGCTGTTTAAGCTTTCTCCCATACAGCCAACTTGGAAACATAAACTGTTCAATAGCAGGTATTAAGCAAACCACCTACCAATAAGACTTTGAAGTCCGTGCTTTCCTTGATCACAAGCGTTGGTGCTATCATTAGCTTACTGGCTAATCTGCTATTCGTGGCAGATTCGGACATCGCATCCATCTAGAGAAGCGTACAGCGCTTTCAACACTACTCTGGATAGTTGGCATTAACGGCCTACCTAAGTCTTTGGCTATTCTCAATGTAGCTTATCAATTGCGAGGAATGGTAAGAAAAGTTTATAAGTAAAATTTTACTGTGTTTAGCGCCCGCCGTCATAACAGGCAAAAGATGTCGCTGGCGGCGTATAGATTAGACTTACTATAATTCACTTGTTAATATGGATAACCTCGAGTTCTAAGAAACTTTTACTTCATCCGGACTGGGGCCGATTACTGCATATCATTGGATGGTTTGACTACATCTCCCACAACCAGACTTAGCTCAAGGGAGGGCCGAGAAGAGTTTAAAAGTTCTATATAAGGTAGGCAAAGTTTTAAGGTTTCCCAATAACTTAAGCATCTTCCATTTGAAATTAGTTAGCCATGGACCGATTGTTTACCTACATATGAATGTAAAACCTTTCACGAGACGAACATTTATTTTGTTGCTTGCTCAGAGAATGTATGATGTTAATTTTAAGGTCCACAGCGAAACCGCATCTCTGGTGAGTTAGTAGTGCCGGTTACACTTAAAGAGTTCATGAGTTGTTCCCGTACAAAGACAATGCCTTCATTTCGACATTTAATGCATCCGCAGAGGAGTACATCTTAGCAAAAGATGCGGTTCTTTCAGTATCAGTGACCTATTAGAGAACTTTTCCTTCCCCGGCAACGTAGCATTTGTTGCTTGCACAAGGATATTCAAAATTGAATGTCAATAGGTGGTTATATGTAAATCTTAGCTAGAAATCCTGGAAGGCGAACATTGGGCAGATGATGAAAAAAGGCGACAGAAACCAATGAACTTTACAGTCGACTAAAAATGCTGTCGTAACTAACTTAATCGTTGAGATTGCAGCGAATCGTTCACCAAATTCCGTCCTTGTCGCTCTTTTATCTGCCAGTTACCAAAAAAGTTAAGGTAATTGGATACACAATGACTTAGCTGCACTGGTAGCAAACGTAGGGCATGGGAAACCCGCAGACGACTCATAAAGAAAATTACGAAAATAAATTAGTTACGAAAATAAAATGTATGCAGCCCCTTCTGAGGCCGGTATTTCACATTAGTGATCCTACTATACGGACCGTTTCGCCCAATACAGCCTCGTAATAGCTGGTATAATTCCTGCCGATCTATTGGCTAACGGAATCCAGCGTATCGATCAGACGTACCGAACATAAAGCAGAGGCCTCTCAAAACTAGATATACATAGATCGTAACAAAAATATTGTTCAAGTTTTCAACGTCACATGCTACTCTTTCCGTATTGAACAAGATGACGTCAAACATTTTAGGTTTGGGTTTGAAAGGTACTTGTCGTATTTCTACAAAAGAACACCAAGTGAAATAAACTTGGGATTATGTGAAGTGTCTCCCAGCTTCAAAAATACTATAGCTAGAGCACTGCCTTCTTTAGTATCAATCTTGCGTGGCTGCAAGTGGTTTTTTTAAAAAGAAAGTTGGCCGTGCTTCTTTACGAGAGTGCTAGAAAGGTAGATTGGAATAATCGAAAAGTAGAACATCGCCTTAAAGAGATGCAGAGTCGAGCGTAGTTCACCAAAACCTCAAAGAAGAGACAAAAGCTCACCTGAGTGCTGGCAGTACCGATCGACTTGATCGGCCCAAGGAACTCTTAGGACGGAAAACTCTTTATAGGCTTAATGAAAGTTTTAAATAAATAGAACTTTTTTAGCAGGAAATGGGCAGAGAATAATCAGATCTGAGCACTTCGACCCTTTACGGTGAAAGAAAGACTATAGAAAGATAAAACTGTAGTAGTAGTTTATTTTCACTCACCTCGCATAGCGGTCCAGATCGTAGCCGGTAAAGTCCTGATAATTGTTATCCTCATTGTCCGGTAGTTCCGTGGTAAGACTTTGTGTGTTTTGCGCTGCAAAGGAACGTCCCATCGCCGACGTGTTGGCGCTCCAAGTATTGCAGGCATGCTGATGATGCCGCATTTGCACCGACTGCAAACTACAGTTGTCATCAATGCCGCCGCCGCCGCCGCCGCCGCCGGTAGTGTGGAAGAAATCTGGTTGCGGCGTCGTAGACTTCAATGATAAGCAATCGTTGAACTTGGATGTAACGTATGCCGCTGTGCTGTACAGTTCATGCTCACTCGGACTAGCCGCACAATTGCTGTAGATGGGATTTGGCATTTTTTGTTGCGCATCGAACAGAAAGTCCGGCAGCATAACGCGCTTCACTGTCAGCGTAGTAAAATCAATGGCGGCTGTGCTCTCCTTCAGCAACGAGTCTACATTGTAATGTTGCACCGGATGATTATCCACTGCTAAGAGTATATCGCCGCCACGTAACGACCCAGTACGATGTGCTGGACTGCCGGGTTTCACATCGGATATAACAAAACCACCATGACTAGAACCATTCACGCTGATGCCCAGTCCCGATTTGCCCGCGCGCAACAACTTAACATTGTACACACCGCTTGACGGTACCACCGAATCGGCCATGTCGATTTCAATCTCCAATTCCAACCAATTAGCTGCTGGCGATTGTTGTGACTTCTGTGACTGTAGCGTGCGATTCTCGCCCAATAACTGGCGCATCGTCTGCACATCCAAATTGTACATTTTATTAATGGCCACAATGCGATCGCCCTTCTGTATGGAACCACTGCGATCGGCCACCGAATCGGCCAACACTTGCGCAATTGTGACGGCGCGTCCGCAAGCAGTCGCTGGGCCAAGTACTATGCCGGAACCCTGACTGCAGTCCAGCAACACAGGAAATGTTTCAGAGCGACAAATGCCAATGGCGCTGGTGGGATGATGCAGCGACGTCCCAAGCCCTACGTTCATGCTGCTGCCAACTCCGGTCGAAGATGCGCTGCTGCTGCTGTTGACACCATTGCTGCTGCCACTGGCGCTACTACCACCACTGGCGCTGCTGGCTGTGCCACTATTGCTGCCCGTGCTGCCACCGCCATTGCAGCTGTTGCCGCCGCCACCGCAGACTCCAACGTTAGCGCCTCCTCCGCCGTTGCCTCCGCCACTGCCACCACCACCACCACCTTCCAGTGGCAGCGAACTTTTTCGTACGAAACGTTGGCGTTGCCGCGACTTGCGTGACTCCAATGTGCTGAAACCATACTTCGGACTGCCGAGCGTTGTGTGACCTAAAAGCACCAAAGTGTAGAAAAAGTATAGTGCGTAGAAAATTGATAAAATAAAATGAAGAAAATGGAAAATAGTTAAGTGAAAATTATGGCGTGTGCGCGCCTGTGTGTATGAGTTGTGCGTTATGTGTCAGTTGAGTGAAAGTTCTTTTCACTTCCACAAAAACTTGCCCCCCAAACGCTATTTTTAGCGACCCCATCAATATTGTTTAATGGAAATTAAGTGCTCACCCGCACGCGAACACGTTTATGAGATTTTAAAGATTTTCAGACATTTTACAATGGCTTTTTACGCATTGCACATTCAACCATTTCAGCCATTTCTGGTGTTCTACTGGGTGAACTACTCGGCTGTAACAAAAACGCTTCGTCCAAGCTGATTCAAAAGGCTAAATGCTCTCGATATTCATGAACTAATAAATATTTCAATAAAAGTGGAAAATACAAATTTTCTTCATGTATCAGATGTATTCATACATACATATGTAAAGCATTTATGTTGGATGTCGAATACGTACAGATTGATGCTATTACTAAAAATCCCTATAAGCCAAAGAGTTATGCACGTATGTATGTATGTACGCTTGGGTATAGGAAGGAAAGGTGAAAGCTCATTAAATTCATATGACAACTTTAAATTCCTTCTTTTTGTCTCACGATTTTTACCATGTAACCCTTTAGTCCATTTTGAGTCATTTTTCAATATCTGTCTCCTAAAAAATTTAATTTTCCCTATAATTTATAGCTTTGTGCTTAAATAGCGATTCCTTTAAATGGCATTTAAAGCAAATATTTAGGAAATGGCTCATCATGATTACCGAAATATGTACACACATACGTGAAAAATCTCAGATATTAAAACATTTACTTTTATATAGATACAAAGTGCCAAATAAAATTTCAATTTTTTTCTTTCGGTCCGATATGAAAATTTCGTTGTCGGTCACAGGAAAATAATTGTGGCTAAGGCATACAGGTAGTATCAGCTGAATTGATTTTTTTTTTTTCAAATTATTTGGTCTCGAAAATTTCAAACATTTTTAATTTCTTCTCGCAAAAATTCTAAATTGTTAAAATCTATTTGCATGTGAAACCTTTTTTCCATACAAAACAAGCTATTGAATAGCAGCTTCGATCGCTCAACTCAGCAGCACAAACGCTGATTACTCGGCCTTGCAAAGAATGGGTCAATGCTTCGAGCAGCAAACAAATTTACTAAGAAAGAAAGTTGCAACAATTTTAATTTTTTCCAATTTAAGTTTTTTTATTTTTTATTTTTTTTTTTTTTGGTACTACACAAATCAGGGCAGTTTTTGATACTTTCGATACCGGAAGCAACAACAAAATACACGCAAATGGTGTTTTGGCTCTAATACTACTACCTGTTTCAGCCCCTAATTTTCATTTTTAAGTCAGCGCTCGCAAAAATACGAATTTTTAATAAAAAAAACTTTTTCCGCTACTTTTTTTTGATGTTGCTGAGCCCAGAAATTTATCCATGGATCTACCGAGTGGCAGTATTCACCTCTATGCATTCGGCTACGGTGGCAAAATCACTACTCAAATCCCAAAAAAAAGTCAGGAAAAATGCAACAATGTATTAAAAAAAAGTTAAAATAAGGTGAACATAAATTTTCAGTGATTTTTATTTGTTTTGCATTTGATCTAAAAAAAAACTTAGAACTTATTTTGCTTTGCTCTTTTCTAAATAAAAGCTGTATTTACTGTTAATAGTGTTATTGTAATTTTTGGTTATGATTTCATACCAACATGAGCATTTTCACTGTAAGAAAATTATGTAAAATAAAACCGGTTTATGCGGTTTCTTCTTCGTTTCAAAATCTGCAACCGGGCTTTTTTTCAAATTGCAATCTTTCGAATAACTCGAAAACCGGTTTTGAAAAAAAAGGTGTATAATCGAACACCCTACTACGTAGGCAGTCTAAGGAATATACAAATACGAGATAACGAGAGAGCGAACGAATTAGCTAAAGCAGAAGCATCTATCGATAGATCCGAAGCGGAGACAATAAACTATCCACTCGAAGTAGGCAAGAAAGAAAAACACTTGCAATTCGCAAGAATGATTAAGTCACGATTTAAGAACCAACAAAAGTGCAAAAAAAACAAAAACTGTAGACCTCTTAAGTAGGTCAAGGAATGAGATCGTTAAGTTAACGGCCACTATACATACAGCCAGGATTTGTCTCCCGTACAACCGTACCAACGATTCATGACAGCATATATACATATAACATCAGAGGTAGCAGAGATAGCGTATCAGACAACGCTGCTATGAACCATAATATATGCCTAATACCTATACAAAGCTTAATGGATTTCAGCGTCATTCGTAAACTGTGCCGCGGTGGAAATACGTTCAAAAGTTGTGGTTTTCGCCAAACTTTTTTCGATGATAATAGTCTCAGAACTAAGTCAGAGATCTGTATTAAGGTTAGCTGCATCTTATAATGTAACGAAAACTGGCTAAGAATTAGCAAAGTTATTTTAATTTTTTGCGAAAAAGTTCAATAAGTATTCTCTTTCCATTTTAATGCAACATTCCTGTTTTTTTCACAAACAAATTTCAAACGAACAATATTGTTTAAGTATTATTTTTCTATACATATGTATATGTATCATAATTAAAAACAAAGAACGGGTGCTCCTTCTTAAAGCCATCGCCAGTTTTAACTTATATTCAAAAAAAGACTTGATTTAATTTGAATACCGCATATTTCAATGCTTTTTCCTTTGCAAAAACTACAAGATTTTCAAATTTTTTAAGTGGCTCTAACAAATCTAGCCAACTAAAAACGACGCAGTACTTAGAATAGAAGCAAACAATTTCAAAGTTCTCCACAAACGAGCATCTAACATGCTAAAAACCGATTATCAACTTAATAACTATAATTTTATTTATGCATTTGCATCATTAATTGCACACGGAAAAGTAATAAAATTCAACAAAAGTCCCCTATTTCCCTACAACTACTACATTACATAAATTTGATCAAAAGAAATGTTAGGAAATAAAAAATTAAAAATAGCAAATTGCTTTATGCTACACCGCTTGCCACACTCGAAGTGTGTCTCTCCCCGATTTAATGGAGTTCTTTTTCAAAAGCACAACCTTTGAAAACTTAATCTATGGGCTTCTGCTTGCATGGCACAAATTCCCACATCTCGATAATGTGTGCGACTGTCCACTTTGCTTTCTTTCGCCACCATACGTTTTCATATGCTGCATTCCCTTATGTATCTAGAATGTTGTTGGGAGCATGTTATTTTATGATCAGCAAATGTCAGAAACCCATATTGACATAAGTCAAATTGTGGCTGACTGACGCCATGCTAACACTTAAGCTCGCAGGCGATATGAGCATTTTGATGTGGGCGCCATTGCTGAGTTGCATCTTCTTTCATTTTCACGATTTTTCCTTTGGAATTAAGTGAAAGAAAAAATGATGAAATTGCAATTGGATTAAGGCGCTAAAGAGAGTTGATAATATCAGTTTAGGTTTGCTATATAACCAAAGGTTCCAATATACTATATATGTATATGTTTTTCGCAACCTAATGTTATACGCCGCGTATGCGTAAAATTATTTTATACTAGCAAATACCCGGCGTGCTTCCCTGCCCCTTAAAAGTATTTTTGTATGGTTTGATACCCGTATTGTAATATTTCATTTGTTTTATTAATTTAATTTAATAAAATTTTCCAAATGGATGGCAACCCTCCTCAAAAATATTTTCTTCAGTTTAATACCCATATTGCCATATTTAATTTATCTTATCTATTAAATTCAATTAAAATTTTCAGGCATGCGGCAACTTCCATAAAAATATCTTCAGCTGTAAGCCTTCTTAAACCTCTTTCTTTTGACAGTGGAGCCGCTATATTTTAATTAGCTGCACTATGTCCATGTCATTGTTAAGCTCATAGAGCTCATCGTTCCATCGTCTGCGGTACTCGTCGTCGCCAAGGCGTAAGGGGCCGTAAATCTTCCGCAAAATCATTCTCCCGAATACTCCAATGGCCGCGTCATGGGATGTTGTCATTGTCCATTCTTCTGCGCCATATATCAGCACGGGCATTATGAGTGACTTATATACAGAGCGTTATTTTCCGGGCAAGGCGCTGAGCGCATCAGCTGGGCAGGTGTTCATTTCTCCTATTATGTCCGATGCAAACCATTTCGTGCAATTTACTTAGTTTAATGCGTGCGGTTCTTTATGTGACCTTAATCCACTATGCTATGGAAATTTTAGAGCAATGTGGGTGTCAAACGAAACGGGTTCAAAATAGGAGGATTCTCGACTTTGCAAGACTTCGGGAATCCCTATGATATATTGTAGGGATGTTGCATCCTGTTAAAAAAAATATAAATTGGAGAGGGTTTAATACTCTTTATTTTTAAACATTTATCTATAGGGTTGCCACAGGTTCAAGAGTCAGTTTAACCAAATATTTTAATATTAGTTTGTTTCAAAACTATTTTTATAGGGGCTGCCACCCGTTTAAGTAAAAAAAATATATTTTAATATCGGTATTAAACGAGAGAAGTTTAAGGAAAGCTGTATCTATTTCATAAATAGTTTTGCCAGGGGTTGCCACCAGCTTAGGAATTTAAAATCAATCTAAATTACTAGTTAAATGCAATCCAAATAAAGTTATAAATTTGAAATTTTGTAAGTGAATGTGTACGTTTTTTACTCCTTTTTCCGATAGAAGTTGGCATATAGATAGCCCATGACCTGAATTAACATATAAAATGTTTTATGAAAAGGGCTGCCACCTGCTTAAACAGTTTAATTATAAGTTAAACGATATCTTACAGTAAGGATGTTAGACGAACGAGATTAAAAAAGCTTTAGTACGAAAATATTGATAAAAGATTGCCACTTATTTAAATTGTTACATTAAATTTTATTAATAAGTTAAATAAAGTATTACAATATGGATTGCCAGCGAGTGAAGTAAAGGTTTATTCTAAAAATTTGTAACTAAATAGAAGAAGATTTTGAAGAAGGTTGCCACCAGATTAAAGGTCAAATTCATTTTTTTTCATATATAAAGTGGATACATATTACAATGCGGATGTCAATGGAAAGAGGTGTAGGAAAGCTTTCTTTCGGAAATATTTTAAAAAAGGGTTGCCACTTGTTTAAAAGAAATTAAATTGAAGAGGCGATCGTGTTTTTTTTGTCTTTTTCGCCAATATTTTCCAGTAGTCAAAATTAGACAAAAACAAAGGTTCTCCGATTCCCATTAGACTATAATCGATAGATATAAGCTCAGTTAAAAAAACAAAACCTAATCAAGTGTAAAGTACATCCATCTTTTGTTAGCATATTTTAATTAAAATTATTGATTGTTTTAAGAAAGAATTCTATAAGATCGATAAGGTTTCTTCCTTATTTCCTTGGCGGCTGGAACATTTAATTTTAACCCCCTTCAGTATCATAGTACTGAGATAGAAAAAAATGATTTGAATTCCGAAACTTAAGCATTTTGAAATTACAGAAATATCTACTTACATACATACGTATATTAATTTTGTTTACATTTCAGTTGTAAGGTATTTTGAAATAATAGAATTCTCAAACGAAATTTACAAAGGGAAATTTCTTTAGAAGCCCTCGCTACATAAAAGCTACACATACGCATGGGGTCGTCCCTCTATACCTGTGAACTATATGTATGTATGTACGTTTTTTTAGGCGCCAAACAATAACTGTTACCACAAAATTGTTGTCCGCAGTCATGCAACATCGCGCCAGCAACATGACAACGCCATTGTCAAATGTCACACGGAGCACAGATGTCGCATAAATCAAAATACCGCAGCTAGTACATACAATTTGGTGAAATGTTACTTAGTGTTTAAGGAAAAAAAACAACCTATCAAATGTAAATTTTGGAATTAATTCCAGCCACAAAACTAGTGTAGAATGCAAAAAGTTGCATGTAAGTACTACTTATAACGGGAGTAGCTACAAAAACAAATGAATCATATGTCAACAAATCGTCTACGCGCAGCTGTCAACGCCACGCCGACAAGCAGCGCCAGGAAAGAAAAGCAAAAACAAAGTTAGACTTTGGTAAAAGTAAAATTGTATGTAGATGAGAAACACGACAAGCAACGCATAACAGATGCAAATCTGCAGCACGCCCCGCACCACACTCCACACAGCATAGTACTAAGTATGTAGCTTACCTCGTCGCGTCAACGCGTGCGCCGGCATAATTTGCATCTGTGTATAGCCACGGCCTGTGTTCGCATCCAACATTGTCATCACTTCGTCCGGACTGTGGGCTGAGTTCTCGATTATGGTGTCGTCGATGGAGAGCACTTGATCACCCACAGACAAGGCGCCACATCTGCAATGGAAAGCAGAAGTATTTTCGCTTAAAAGCAAGAAAGAGGCAAGACAGTTGCTCCTAATTAAATGCAAAATGATTTGTATTCCAGAAAAATACGTAAATATGTACCTCTAGAAAATCGTCCTTACCTGTCTGCAATGCTGGCTGGCATTATGCTCGCTATATAAATACCAGCTGTGCTGACCTCATCGATTTTTGTGTGATCCAAATGACTAGTCGCTGGATAGTTGCACAACACTAGCCCCAATTTATCATTCATGGGCCGCTCGATTTCAATCAACAGTGGACCCATTGAAAATTCGACACTCTGCACCACGGACACATCATATTCGACTGTGAGATTTGTATAGCCGGAAACGTGTCCACCACATTTGATGATCTGTTGTGCCTCGGCCAGTGTTTTGCCAATGAGCGACAGCTACAAAAAAAAAAATGGAAGTATTGCAGAAAAAAAGAAATAACAAATGTCTTTTACGAAAACCAGGTGCAATTTGTCAAATATCATTGGAGACATACATACGCACGCATGTACGCACCTCATCCACTCACACACGCACACTCATCACATCACTCACTCAACACTCAACACTCGACACTCTTCATCAGTACTCACATTATCGACACGCAGCAGCCGATCGCCCGGTTTGATGCGTCCGGTCTTGTAGACAGGTCCATGCGGCCGAACGTGCGTGACGATCAATGGGAAATCGCCACCGCCACGCAGCGTCAAACCCAAACAACCGCTTTCGCGTTCCACTGTGATTTGCGCCAACTTTGATGTGACGCACAAACTATTCTGGGAGACTGTGAGTGAGTCCACAATGAAACCAGCAGGAAGATAGCGGATTTACAACGGCATTCCATATATAATCCATTGTAAACAATGCATCACAGTCGAACCGAAGCAACAACAACCATATCCAGTGTTCATATGTGTATATATATTAGTCGAGGCATTTCGTTGAGATTCCATTCAATAGGTCATTCAAAAATGTTGGCACACCGATCGATGGTCGATTGATGCATCGAAGTTTCCATTTAGGTCAAGTGATGATAGATGGATAGGCAGTCAGGCAAGTGCCGGAAAGTGCGAGTGATGATTTGTGGGGAATTGCGTAAATTTGTAAAATGAAAAACATAGAAAGTAAAGAAAAGAAATAAATTTAAAATGCTTATAAGATTTGCAGATTTACACCCAAATTCATAAAAAAATAAAGAACACTTTAACTGCTTTATAAATCAAAAATTTTTATGAACATGTCGCTTTATAGAGCTCGTTAATCCTATTTATGTTTTATGAATAATATTTATTATGATATAATATTATTAATGTTTATAGTCTTTTGATAATAATGATGTGTGAGAAATTTTTTTTTTACTCATCGATAACTATTATTTTAATACTTATATAATAGAAGTCTTTTCATAATAATTATCATTGAGATAAATATTTTTAAGTCTTCAAAGACTTTTATTTTGTGGCTTATATTTTAAAAGTTTTTGATAATAATTATGAGTGTGAAAAAATTTTATATATAGTCCCGAACGGGTCCCAAACAAAACCCCAACTTAGAAAGTGCTAGATAATTTTGAAAAGAGCTGAAAAAAGAGCTGGGAGCTAAATCCCAATTTTCTCAGCTAAATAGAAAGATAAAGGGCTAAATCTAGCTCCAAAAGCACTAAAATGGCAACACTGATCGGAACTTATACTACAGCGAAATGTATAAAATTAGCTTTACAAAAAATACCAAAAGATTTCTTAATTTTATGTAACTATCATTTGATTGAATGTCAGTGGTGGGACACTGAAAAGAAAGCTATTTTACCTTTCTGCACTCAAAGATGAATTTTAGCCCAAACACTTAATTTTCATAAACGATGTTTTTGTGTTGTAAAACACGAACTATGTATACTAAAAACTAGGCTTATACAGTTTTCATAGGAATTAAAAAAAAAATATTTAAATTTGTGTCTAGTGGGAAATTTCCTTGTGACTGGTGTAAGTAATTATACATCAGGTAAAAGTTTCCATAGATAAAAATTACAACTTATTTTCATTACATTTTTTTCAACAGTTTAATTAAATTTAGTCATTTAAAAAGAGATTACAAATGAAATAGAGATAATTAGGGAATTTTACATTTTTTTTTGGTTTTTCTCTTTTACATGGAATGACCCTATTGCAAAAATGTAATCAACATATTTGTATGTACAAAATTTTGAAGAAAACATTAAACATTTTTTTTAGAAACTAAACTAAAAAAATCTTCTAAAACTTCTCACATAAAATATTTCTTTAATTTTATCAGAAAAGGAGAAGGTTATCAATTCGTCTGAATATATTTTTTATGTATGTTATTGCATAACTTTGGATCATGGTAACCGATTTCTATAACTCTTTTTTTTAAGGGAAGGTGGTGCCTCAGAGATAGTCTCATACTAATTTGGTTTAGATCCGATCATTGGATCATGAAGAAATTAACGATAATCTTAAATTTTTATATGAGAATTGAAGTCGGTTTTGGTTTTTTTGCTTAAAAATTACTTGTTTTGGTATGATATAAGATGCGAGTGCAGTTGAAATTCTGTGAGGGTAATTTTGTAGTAATTTTTTTAAGTACTAGATTGTCGATGCCTTTGCAAAACCGCTTATCTTACGGCACTCAAGTTTTATAGGAGAGCGAAAAAACTGATTTCCTTTGAAAGCCTTGATAGGCAGTAATTTCTTTAGCTATTATTTTGAAAATCTCTTGTTTGAATATCGACTTTACGATTTTTATGCATACATGTCGATGCCTGGGGTTCAGGGTAACCAAATCTCATTTTTGCCCCAATGGCGATTTAGGCGGTTTTGCGAATGCATCGACGATCTATTTATAAAAATGATGCTAATTTTTAGAAAAAGTAGCACTCGCACCTCAATGGATTAGTTGTTTTTTTTTTTGCAGTTTTTTGCCATTATAGTTAGCTACAAGGGATCTGGCGCTGGTCGTCACTTCTATCTCATTAAATATGCCTTGGTCCAAACGAACTCACAAATATTAGCTGATGTTATTAAATTTTTCCGTCTGAGTGAGAAGGTAATTCAAAACCCACAAATTATATATGGATATGTACATATATCGTCGCCTGGATAAAAGATTTACAATTTCCCAAAACCGCGACGATAGAAATTCTTTAATTATTTTACTTTTATTGTTTATTGTTAATTTTATTTCATTATTTTATAAAAAACCTACATAAAAATAACAATTAATTATTTAAACCATAAAACACAGCTAATTACTTATTAAATATTTTTTAATTACCTTTGAGTTTATGAAAGATTTTCTTTTGAAAGGTGTTGATTAATTTAGTATGACTGCATTATTAACTCAATTCGTACTAAATTACCTTTAGCCAACATCTCGGAAATTAAAGGAGATATTGTTTTTAAAATATGTATGTATGTATATATATAACTAAAAATCGTAAAAATGGCACTTTCGACAATTTTTTATTCAGTCGACAATATGTACATATCACACACCTAGATATAAATTGCGATCAACTAAAACCAAAAATTTTGGGCGATTTTTTTGCATAAATCTATTTATAGGACTCACATGTAATAAAGAAAATATTTTTTTCTTCATGATTATGTACATTAACTAAAAAACTACTGATATACCTGTTTTTATATTAATTGCGTTGAATCTGTATGATTCAGAAGCAGTTAAATTTCCCTCTCTGAATTTTGAATTAGCTCACTTTAGATCTATGTAGGTGTGCGATATGTTTACTTAAGTTAAGTTTAATATAGTCAAGACATCTGCTGAAAATCAACATGTGGATTTTAAGGATATCTTCGAAAAGGCGTTCCCCAAATTATATATGTAAAGATATTTTTTAATTTCAAAATCGATAACTAACCGTAGCTAACAGCGACAATGAGTGTTGCCGTTTTTTTACAATAACTACGCCCGCAACATGTTGACTAGCGTTTATGTCTATAAATATGTTTCTAAACATTTTATCGTTGTGTTTACACAAACATATCTACAAATTTATACTTAAATATTATAAAAAACATACATACATATTTATGTGCGTAAAAATAATAGATTTGAATGATATTTTCACACTCACTATATTCGGGTAGAGAATATTCGATTTCCACCACAGCAGGAACACTGCGAGCATCGCCTCCTCCATCAACACCACTGCCACCACCACCACCGCCGCCACTAGAGCCAGTACCCGAGCCATTCCCAGCGGTTGTTGAGCCATCACAAGTGCCGCACAGCATGCTCATGACGTGTTGATTACTCAACCCAATTGTTGAGATGCCGTCAATTTGATGAATGCGATCGCCAGGCGCTAGAAAGTCCGCAGCATGACCCAGTGGACTCAGCGCGCCAATAACAGGTGGATACGAAAGGTCGTTGCGTTCTGGCGATATGTGAATGCAATTTGTAATGCGTAAGTAGGTAGGATGCCGCGAACGTCGATGAATGAAATGAATTGTCGTTGTATGTATGTATGTATGTAACATGAAATTAAAAGAATGAGAAAATGTAAGGTTGAATAAATAAATAAACAAATGCTAAATGAAATTGCCAATTAGACGCTGAAGCCGTAAGGAATCGTAAAAAAATTTGTGGTAGAATAATTATTTAGAAGCGCACTGATTGAAGCGAGATGTGGGTTGTCGGTTGCACTCTTATGGGAAGTAAATATATGTATGTATGTATGTATGTATGTATGTATTTGGGTGTGCGTGTTTGCGTAAGTGTATTTACAGGCTGCTGTTAAGTTCGCTTGCAATATGCATTTGTTTATTTACTTAACAGACAAGTGTTGTTTATAGTTTTTATTGCTTCGATGTTTGCACACATCGATGTTGTGTATGTACGTATGTAAAACGTACAAAAGGGGGCCTGCAACATAGTCCAAAGCCCAAATGTTGTTAACTGGAATCGCTGGCAATAAAATTGTAAGTTTGTTGTTGCAGCTTATGCCGTTTTAATGAGCGCATTGAAGTGTTCAATAAATCCATAAAACCCTGTTACTTTATGAATGCAAGTCTGTAAATACATATACGGTGACTTAAGCAAGTAAGTATATATTCAAGTGTTGAGTTATTTTTTAATATTCGCCCGGTTTTTAACGTTACTTTTTGATTTTTCTAAAAAAAATATTATCCAAGCCTTTACCAAAACAAAGTACATATGCATATAAATCAAAGTTTCAAAACTTTATACCAACATTTAGGGAAATTCAACACGATTTCAACAAAATTTCGAGCTTTTTAATTTGAACCTTTAGAACATTTGCAGCTTTATAATTGTCCATCAAATTTCAATCTAATTAATTTTTAGACGTTTGAAGCTTACACTTTATTCGAGTGGATTTTCATGCGCTATAAAACTGCATGCCCAAAAGGCTTCTAACGATTCAGATTAAAAAGCTCGAAATTTTAATTAAAAATTTATTTAAATTTCCTAATTTTTTTATGAAGTTTGACCCGTTGACTTATATAGTTTTGGCTAAAACTTAAAAAAAAAATAACAAGAAAAATTTTACCCTTACTGATCTTAAAGGTCCTGACTTCGAAAAAACAATATTTTTTGCAAACTCCGAATTACAAATAGATTTAAATTAAATAAAAATTGTTTAATATAACTTAATAAAGAGCTTGAAAGATTTTTTTTTTTTTTCAAAATTCAAATTTTAATATCTTTATAAAAAGTTACCTTCTTGATATGTATTTTCAGGATCTTCCAAGGTCAGTTGGTGGTAAAGTATAGAAAAAAAGGTTTCGCAAAGATTTTTTAATTTCAAAATTCCGTAAATTTGTTTATTATTACGAACTTTTCTTCTTCTTTAAAGGCCTAAACTTTAACTTTAAAACGACACCAGGACCATTTTCGTAACTACATATAATAGATTTTGAGATATACATAAAAATAAACTTGAAAAATCCCCGAAATTATAAAATTTAGAATTTTGAATAACTATCGAAAAAAAATTTCAATTTTTTTCCATGCCACAACTTTGTTACATATGTACATATATGTACATATGATAAAAGGAAATGTCTACCCAAAATTCATCCAAATCAAAAATGCTCGATTTCACATGGATTGACCCCCATACATATGTAAATAAACCTGTTTTTATGCCCCATACCCATATGTAAATTAGTGCATACATACATATGTACATATGTGCCAAAAATGATGTTAAATATGTGCGACACCTATGCCTGCGTAACTGTGAAATTTGATTATACATACATATTTGTGCGTAGCCAAATAAATTTTCATTTCCTCCTGCCACAAATCAAGTCATTCATGCGACCAAAAAACGACGCAACGAAATGGCTGAGTGCCAAGTTAAACCAACATGAAAATATGTAGATACATATGTATATTTGCATATGTAAACATGTATATATTTTTGTTTAAAATACATATGATCACCGAAAAAAAGCGAGGAAAATGTTAGAATTAAATTTTCTTACATGCAATTTTGGCACATCTTATAAATCATACAGCTGCAAGTAAGAGAAACCCTTCTTCAAGGTAGACCGACACGAGTTTTATATGTTGTTACATATGTATGTATGTACATATTTGAATGCCGTTGGTATCAAGCAGGGATGCCAAATCTGTGAAATCTAATTATTCCAATTGATTTTCCATGAATAACAAAGGCCCTTAGAAATATTCTTTTTTGTGTCGAAAGAATCCGCTCTAGTATAATATCGACTATACAGAGCTTTTACTCTATACAATTTACAAATTTGGTTTGGAAACAAAACTGCTTTGGCGTTGCGCAATATTCAGTTCCAAACTACAGAGGTCACGAGAAGCTACATGAAAATCATTCAGAATCTGGAATCAATCGTTCAGCTAGCCTCCCAGCTCAGTTGTTAGCTCTTTGCATTAGGGAGTTTATGAATATTTGCATCATAATTGGCATCACTTAATTCATTCGCATCAGCACTAGCATTCGTATCAACACTAGCATTCGCATCTAGGGATGCAAACGATGCATCGATGTTTCTCAAACATCGATAACATCGGCCAAAAAACCGATGTTAACCATCGATATTTGAAAATGAACTCAACATCGTAAAATGGGCGATATATCGATGTCAATTTTAACGATGTTTTAAACATCGACTTTAGTTTCGGTTCAAAATTGCCATTGCGTTCACATCTTTATCATGAACGAAAGACACAAGATCACGTAAGAACAAGACAGTGAAAAAAGTCGATTTTTTTTTGCGGGTACTACGCCATCTTGTTTCACTGGAAAACGAGGGAAAAGTAAACAAAGCAAAGAAAACAACGAAAACCAAAATTAGTCAAAATTATTGTCAACCACTTTTAACGCACAATTTAGGTAAAATGATGCAACAAAATGCTTTAATATGTGTTGTCATGTTGAATTAACTCTTCTTTACTTGAATAAAAGTGTAAAATAGTGGTGCTTGTGATGTAAACAAACGCTCAGCTGACGAACCCGCTTTCGCAAACTTTTTTCTCAAAACCAGTTACAAATACAACGTCGCGTTCTTACGTGATCTTGTATTTTTGGTTCATGCATCTTTATGTTATATTCTTTGGGCTCTGTCACACGGTCAGTATTTATTGACGTGATCCAAGTATCGCGATATTTATTGACGGTGTAGTATGCAGTATTGATGGATCGTGATCCATCGCAAAATTTCTAAAAATTTTGAAATCTGGATCGCGGATCGCAATACCGTTAATAAATATTGAACGTGTAGTACTTTCAAAACGCGATCCATACATTTCTTCAGTACATCTTTTACTCTCATAATGTAAACATCGGCTTTGCCTTCACTCTCGGGGCTTAAAATCTTTCAAAACAAATTGAACAAATCTTAAAATAATTGTCGAATGCATTATCTGTAAATTATACGTACAAAATAAAAATATTTTCTTGCAAATACTGACGCGATAAATATTGAACATGTAGCATTCGTGCGCGATCCATCAATCCATCAATATGGATCGCGATCCAAATATCGTGATAATTACTGACCGTGGGACAGAGCCCTTTGGGTAAGTGTATTATGGGTGATGACAGCCCTGCACTTAATAAAAGCAATTGGCAATGTTGAACATAGGCGATTTCCATGACGATCACTGTATTTCAGGATTTGCAGGTTTTACAGGTAAAGCGGTTTTCGCCATTAATAAACCTTATGGAAGGTGGCGTACGTTAACCGCTTCCTGTAAAAACCTGCAAATCATGAAGTACCTGCAACATACTTATTAAAAAGAGAAACATCGGAATATATCGATGTATCGATAGTTTTAGGGCGATTTTTTTCGGCATCGATGTTAGTGTTTACGATACATCGAAATATCGATGTATCGATGTTGGCTCTGAAAATTTGCATCCCTATTCGCATCGATACTAGCATTCGCAGCAAATGATAGAGTAGCATAAGTTCTGATAGGATAGTGCTCTTTTCGAGAAGGAGCCTAACAAAATTCACCAGACGCCGTTGCACCTTCACGATAAGTGTGGTGTAACCAACAGATAGACATTGTTGAAAGTACCCTCGAGGAGCGGGTGTCATTTTTTATATTCCGTCCAATATATTCGTCAATGAGCGTTTTAAGAAAGAATAAAGTGAGGTTATATGTCTATAATTCTTCGGTTTCACATGAGCTGCCCTGTCTCCTGTTGGTGAAAACACCACATTCGTCTTTGTCCACTCGTATTGTATGCGAGTTAGGGCTATAAAAACCTATGAAAACAGAGGGCGCAGTTTGTCCTTAGTTCATGTAGTTGGGTGGGAAAGATTCAGTGGGATCACGGAGATTTGTAGGGTTGGAAGGGCTTGTCCATTCCACCCACACATAACCTACAATAGGACTGGACGTAGTGCCGGAGGTGTCCGCAGAGCAACCCCGGAAGAGAGTAGGTACCCATAAGGATCTCCAGCATTTCATCCGGTCACTATTAGGCTTCTGGATAGAGTTCATACTTTAAGAAGATTTCGGCAGAACTCTTCGCAGCATGTTGGCTTCAGAGTGTTGTTTTATGTTGTTACAGAAGTTTTGCCAAGATTCGCGTTTCGCTCGTCTTATGGGCTTCTTGAAAAATTTGAATGCATCGAAGAGGGTGGCCAAAAACGTGTTTGCTTGCCTTGATTGAAAAGCCCAGCCGCTGTTTTTTCTAAGTGCTGAATTATCAGAATGCCACCACTAGGGTTTCTTTTTGCCCTTCGGGAGGATGATTGGGTATTTGTCACAAAAATCACAGCTTCTTAAATTTTGGATGATGAATCCAGCTCACCGATAAAAACAACCTTCGTGTTCGAGAAACTCGCTTCATCAGATCTTAGCGATAAGCAGGACTTATCGTGAGAAGCGTATCCATGTAGACAGCGTATTCGAAAGGAA